ATAACATTCTCCTACTCTAGAAAGGAAAGGGGCATTTCAGTTTATGCCATTTAAAACTGTGAGGTGTTTAAATGGCACCTTCAAAGTCATAAGGCAATGATTTATCTTGCTTTTATCTAATGATGTAACATACCCAAGAACCTTACCCTTGAATCACGCAGGAACAAACTTCAAATGATTTCCTGTCTATCTATATTGTATCACTTCCTTGATTTGGGAAAAATCAGCAATTCTGAGCTGATGTCACAAAAACTAAGCATTCCTTAACCGATGGCCTTCATGTGCTCTACCACCATGGGAAAGTCTTATTTCTTTCGCCTCTTGTCTTGGTGAGGGACTAAAAAATCTGCCAATGTTTCAGTCCTTGGCAAATCTGGGAATAGAACCTAGGTCACCCAATACGTAGGTATGAGTATATGATACTCTGTAAGGAAGCCCTGCTTTGTTAAGAATATGAATTAGAGATAAAGCTAGAGCAGGAAATCCTCTCTACTTAACGAACAATAACCACTCCAATATTTGTCAAAGGCATCTCAAAACACATCTATATTTAGTTGCTCTCAAGAACCTTGGTAAACAAGCACACAACTTGATTGCTAGCTGGACAGCAGGGAATTTAATGCCCGATGGGGGAGGCTATTTAGAGATCTCACAATGTGCCATCTGCTGCTGAGCTAGCACATGTTGCTAAATCTAAGCTGGCAGAGCAATTGCAATAAATCCTAGAACAGCTTACCCAGTGCTTATTCCAATAAATACAGGCATGAGGACAGGGTCTGTTTGAAATAGGAAGACCAAAATTCCTTTTCCCATGTTTCATAGGATAGGGCAGAAGGTATCACTAAAGCATCTTGTCTGAATATATGTTTTACTGCAAGCCATTAAATCTACTGATTACTCCTGTGCTGAGTCCAGTAAATGGAACATATGTTTTGTTTGTTCAGATCAACTCTTTCAGAAAAATAACAGTCAGTCTCAGTCTTGATCTGAAGACAAGCATCATGATGGGAAGACCTGGAAAGGCCTTTGGCCCTCCTTTTCTTTAGCCAGCTCATCCTGCACCCCTTTGTTTTTGTAGAGCCGTTTCGTGTTACATCAAGTTTAACTGATTCAGGAATATGCCTTGATGCTTTTCTAGAATCCTCTCTATTTTATATGCCCAACATGAACTACCACAATACTGTGAAACTGAAAGGTTAGTGTATTTTTTTTCTTGCTGCAAACCGCAAATAATGCAGTGGCCAATGTTATGGCCACCAACCAAAAGCTTGTGCTGTAATTAGCTATTATTAGCATGTGTATAATCCCCATGGGATTAACTGGTCACCTAAGTGTGGCTTCAGGTGTCACCTATGTCTCACAGGGACATAAACTAATCTTTTTTGTTGAAAACAGGCTAAGTGTTTTGAAACCTTTCTAATTTACAGTAAGTACTGCAATTCAGTCTCTCTCAAATCACCATTCTGTTTGTGTTGGAAAGGAACAGTTCTGCACTTGGATTCTGTTTCAGGTGAGAGTCCTCTGAAAAGTTAGTGGGCATCCAGGCCTTAAAAAGCAGATTAAAAAGATTTATGTTGTTCTTTAAATGGCCAAACAATTTAAAGTAATTAAATGGGCCTTTAGTTGGCTTTACTTTCACTCTTAAACAGAGCAAATGCTGTTGGCAAAGAATGCAAGGAAAAAGAGTGCTGCCCAGGGAAGCTGAACAGGTAGCTGGTGTAGTGTGTGCATGAGGACTTACGTATCAACTTGTGCCTGAATTAACAGAGCTTGTTATCGTGGCACTCAGTATGGAAAGCATACCTTGTGCAATTCCTCCAGGACCCTGCTGATCTCTGGAGCACAGCATATGCAGTGACACAGTATATGCAGTGATCTTTTATCATAGACAGCTGCAGCTGAAGGATTAGTTAAGAGAATGGTCATTTGGCATCATTCTAGAAAAATAAGCCAAGGGTTCAAGCAGTACAAGGTATAGCCACATTGCCCAGGGTGTGGAGCATCCAGGAATTTGTCACAGCAGCTGAGCATATGTCATCTCCCTATGCTTCCAGGTCTTGCTATCCCTGGATAAGCCCATCCAAAATGCCCAGGGAGAAGAAGGGGCCATTGCTTTGAGAGACCCTCAGGTCGGGTAAGGAGTGAAGCTCTTTTTTAAGGAACCTCTGGTATTTTCCAAAAATCTTTCTGGACTGGCAGTGTAATGCTGGCCAGCGCTAAAGTCTTCCATCTTCCCCAAAGAAAGCCACTTACCAAGAACACTGAGCTCTATGGAAATGTAGATCCTGAGGCATTGCTGTGATGGTGCTATGCTAGCTGGCAGCAATACAGAGTGGAATGGTGCAGCCCTGTTGTTACTAGTGAGGACACAGAGAATGCATTCAGCCCCCTCAATCACTGCTTAGGGAAGCATGCTGTGGCACTTTCTTCTGGTCACTCTCTGGCTAGGCAGGGTCCTGTCTACCCCCTTTCATCAGTACCAGGGGACCAAAGCTCTATCTAGCATGGTATCCTGACAGTGCCCAAAAGCAGACTCCTAGGGAACAGGATAAAAAGGAGGGCAAGAATGTAGTGGAACTTCCCTCAAGTACTCTCTCAGCCTCCAACAACTTGCAGCTTAAGCAGTTCCTGAGCCAGGAGCAGGTTTTAGGTATTTAACAGTCCTCAGTGGATTTCTCTTCTGTGAACTTGTCCAGTCTACCTTGAGCTCATGTAAATTTTTAGCATCTACAACATACTGCTGCAATGAAATCCATGACTTAACCATCTTGCCTCCTTTTCAGGAGGCAATTTTTTATGCCCTTTTTATGGGAAGGACAGTGCCCACTACCAGCAGAAACTTTCAGGGTGGACACCTCTGCAGCTTCTACTTACATTTCATGGATAGTTACCAATATTCTGTGTGTGCATGTCTGGGGCAGAGATTGAGTACAAACTGGTTGGTGGTGTTTCAGGTTGTGAAGTGTAAACATTTCTGTAAATCTCCGTAAAACTTTCTGTACAAGTGGCAATGACTCCTTGCAGTTCTGTGTTCTCCTACAAAGGAATTTCCCAGTGGCAGGGCTCTGTGGATCAGAAAGCTGAGCTAGCAGTAATCTGCTGCATAGCTACACAAGAGATGTGCTTCAGCTCCCTCTTCAGAGCAGGTGAAGGGAGACTAAGCTGGAACCTCTTGTCATCTTGGATCAGGAGCAGAAGCTTGGATTCCCACAGGATCATCTGCATCTCCAAGCCAGTCCTGCTTCCCATGAGCCACTTCCCATGAACTAGAACATACGAAAACAAGCATGGGAAGGAATGCAGAAGAGAGGAAGCTAAAAGGCATAGTGTACAACTCATTTATCCTCTCACCCACAAGGGTACTTACTTTTTGATATGACTGATGGGGGGAAAAAAAATCCCTAAGTTAAAATTCCAAAGGGGTCCTATTCTAGGCTCTTAGCATCCCTACCATGAGCAAAGTCATCTGCCTGCTCCATGTGCAACTTCTCCCCTGCAGCTCTGATGCCCCAGAGACCAGAGCTTTGTTCCTGGAGCAGCCTATGCAAATAGGTACTGTTCAAGCCAGCTCTCCTGACCAATGGGCCAAGGCCTTTCGGAATGAGAGGGGAGCAGCAATTCTGTGCTCAGCAAGCTTCTGCCTTTTTACTTAGGGCGTTTGTGAAGGGTTTGCATGCAAAACAACCACCAAAAGACAGTTTTACTCTGAACACTTGGAAGAACAGGTTACACCAAGTTCTTCCCCTCAGACGTGCATGCAGAATATCTGCCTCTAAAATGTAGATGGAATCTGCACAGAGGCAGCTCAAATCAGTTTCCCCTGGCAGCAAGCATTGTCTTTCCCACATAATGGGCAACCCTAAAAAAAATTGTCTGGAAAGCAACACATTGCACACGAGGCATAGGGAGAGGTTGCATGTTTCTGTTCAGGAGTTCCTGGATAAGTGATTGCAGCAAGTCCAATGTGTTCAGAAAGCTTCAGACTTATGATGAATGTTCAGATTGTTGAAGCAGTACCAAAAGTTCAGGACTCTGGGCTTACTCTGTAGGAACTGTAGAGTCATCCCTAATGGATATGTCCTAGACTTTTGGATGCCCAGCAGCCCAGTTGGAGAAGTAACTGTCAAAGCTGGCAAGTCCTGGATAAATGTCCAACATCTTTAACTTCTACCCAGGTGAGACTTTCTGGGTAGAAAAAGTCTGGGTACCTGGATAGCCTGTGCAGAAGAGAAATTCTCTGGACAGTCAAAGAAATTATAAGCAAGGTAACCGCAGTTCACTACCAAAAAAGTTTTTTCAAGCATTTTCTGTCTTCCTATTAATTTGTGCTTTATTGTAACCCTGTGGAAAGGTTCTAGCAGGAACATCTAGAGAAGGAGAGCGCTATAGCATTTGTGCAACTGGAAATGTTGATGAGACAACCTGGGAAGAATGTGTATGGAGAAGTTTTGATGCATAAGAGAACTGGGGATTCCAAGGTTTTGATGTGGACTTAGAGGCAAAATCTTGTTTTCCATTCAGCAGATAATGCGTAACATCTATCAGCTCTTGCAGGAGGATCACCTTAATTTGATGATGCAAGTATTAGAAGCACTCATGATAGATCTACCCCAGGCAAGTGGGCAAATGTGAACACATGCCTACGTAGATGCATGTGTCTGATCCATGAGTTTGATTAACATGTGTAAGGAGCAGGAAGAATTAAATGAGGAAAAAGTGTGGTACAGCTGCTTCAGCAAACTACTTAGCTTTCTGGGCTACTTTTTCCATTATGCAAAAGCTGTATTTGTATTAGTATAGCAGTCAGACCCACCAATGTGGGGATTACTGTTGGTTTTTACATAATGGATTATCCAAGATTAAACGTTTTATTCAGGCACACAAGCAAAAATAACCAATGAGGGACTTTGCAGACTCATTATTTAAAGGCAGCTGAAGGACAATTCATGCAAAACTCTCCTGCTGACTGCAGCCCAAAGACTGTAGCAGAGTAGTCTCAGGGACCTCCAGCATCTCTGTCCTAACAGGTAGGTCTCTTCAGCAGAGAGGAATCAGGTTAGTGTCTCCAGAAACAAGAAACTGAAGCTTGCGTGGCTGCAGTTGAGAACAGAATAGCTACTTGGGTGTTTGCAAGCCTTGGGTTGGTAGCTCAGCTCAGTTTTAAATATTTGTGTTTTAACTTGGCATCAGAATAGATATTCAGGGATGAATATTCTGTGAGAATGTATAGGTAGGTGCTCTCTTCTCCCAAAGTGTTGGGATCAAGCATGCTGGGATATGGATGAGCTGGCATAGACTAGGAGATAAATACAACCTTGGCCAGCTTATGGCTGTGTTATAACTGCAGATCAAGCCTCCAGAGATTGAATATCATCTGTTAAGTTTGTAGGGTAAATGGTCTGACTGAGACTATTGTTAAAATGTATTTTGTCATTAGAGCAGACAGCTAGGAAATGCCTGATTAGGTGATGAAAACTGAACATAACACAGTTTTGCTGGTTTTAAAGAAAAATGGATAAGCACCATGAAATATTTAGAAACAATGTATTTCCAACCAACAAGGTTTTACCAGAGCTCATCAGAACATTATCTTTGTTGTCAAAACAAAAATTCAGTGAATTTCTAATTTTATCAACTCTTACCAACCTTATCCAGAGTCTGGCTTGATTTATAATGTAAAAGTGATGTGAATTGCAGTATTGCAAATGGCAAGCAAAATGCTCTGGTAAAGTAATTGCCATTGGTGGTCAGGGATACAAATCTGACTGGATTCAGGCATAGCAGTGATCCAGGTTTCTCAGTGAAATAGTACTGTGCTCAGCATGGAATGAAACTAGTTTTAAAATGGGGAGAATGGATTTGTAGGCACAGCACTAACTATTGATATGTGCTACATGAAATAAGACTCTGCATGTTTGCTTTTGTCTTGCAGAATGAAATGCGCGCAGTATGTTTTCCTGGCATTGCTCTTCTCCACTGTTGAATATAGCCTAGCTCAGACCTGTTCAGTGGAGTCTTTCTCTGTGAAAGACAATTTTGATCCAAAGAGGGTAATTATGGCTACTTCATCTGCTAAACACAATATACCAGGAGAAGCATCACTATATAAACTAGTTTTCCTGTGTATAGGATGTATTAATCTAAAAGGGTTCCTCACTAGGAAGTTAATTTTTTATATATACTGTCTCTTGAACACTGTTTCTATAGTTTGCTCTTCTTTGCTAGTGTTTAACCTGCTGGACATTATGGTAACACCAGCCACAGAAATGTTGGGGATGCTAGACTATTATAACTGGCATAATCTTCTATTAGCTCAAGTTTGGTATGGCTCTGTTTTGGGCAGTCCCATGAATGAAACACTTTTTAGATCCTTAATAGAGGGGAAGCTCAAACAAGTACCCTGGAAGATTTACATCCACTGCTGTCCATTCTTGGGAGTCAGGTCAACCCAAACTTTTCACTAAACTGGGTGTCCTAAACACAGACTGTCTTAAGTTCTAAATAGGGTGTCTCATTTGTCTGCTTCTGAACAGAAAACCAAGGCTAACTGTTTTAGAATGGTTCAGAATGATGTGCTAGTACCTGTTTTGACTGGTTGTCTACAAAACATGCTACCATATCACTTCCAGCCACAACCAGAATTTGTGGGATTCCAGAACTTTTTTCCTACAAAATTAGACTTGCTGAAAAAACCCCACATTTATGGGGAAAGTGCTTTGATAGTGTTTTAATAAATCAGTGTTATGCTCAGCCTCATGTACTTGAGGGTTATAAACTCCATCTCAATCTTCCTTAAGCATGTAACTTCCAGACAGATTTAATCACTTTAACTGAAGAATTCAATTGATAAGAGCTATGTTCTGCTTCCCCCATTATTTCTACTGATACAGGTAACTTTTGAAGCTCTTCCAGTCATGCAATGACTTGCTTGTACCCTATTTTCATTTTAGCAGATACTGGTTTTAAATTTTCAAAGTCACTTTTTTTTTTTTAGGAATTTTATTATTGTTCTTAATCTCATTTCAGTTCCCCTTGCAGCTAGTCACCCTAACACACTCTTCTTTGTCAAGGGCATAATCTGCTTCTCTGTGTAGACACTTTACACCATTAAAGATCATGAGCAAAAGCTCAACTTTAGCCCCTGTCAGCAACAATAGGGGAAATTGGCTAGTGGCTCTAGCCAGTTTGATAATGGCTTTGTGGCTATGATTTGGTCTCCTTGTTGCCATCCTCCACAAAGAAACCAGGGCCTAAACGAGAACAGAGAATAACTGGCCTGATTCACAACAGTGGATACTGAGTTATGGGTAAGGCATTTCAGGATGGCATTTCAGAGCAGCTTACAGTGTTGGGCCACCACTCCATGAATGTCTCAAGTGCTAAAGCATAAATGCATACAGAAGCTCAGACTTCCTCTTAGTGCCTCACAAAAGAACGTACAGGTGAGTTTGTTGAAGTATATAGCAAAACCTGTGTGGTACATACCCACCCAAACTCAAACTTTCACCATAGGCCAGGCAGTGGCTAGTTAGTCTTCTGCCAGTCTTCCAGTGATGATTAATCCAGACATGAATAATCTTTCATTTCAGTATGCAGGGAAATGGTATGCCCTAGCCAAGAAGGATCCAGAAGGTCTTTTTCTTCAGGACAATATCTCCGCTGAATACACTGTTGAGGAAGATGGCACAATGACAGCATCTTCCAAAGGCCGAGTGAAGCTTTTTGGGTAAGTGTGTGCCTAACTCCTAATTCTAGCTGATGGCATGATATACTAAAGTGATGGTGTGAATGGTAATCTGTCCTGAGCACACAACATGACTGAGTTGTCTTTATCAAGAAGAGAAGCTCAATAAAATTAATACATTAGAAGCCAAAGGTGATTGAGTCCTGAGTTCTCAGCCTGGTTCTGGTCTAGGCCCATCACAAAGCTACTGTAAAATTGCCAGTTAAATGATAAAGTCAAATCTTTAATGATAGACTGGTAAAGCAAATAAATTGGAATAAAAAGAGAGGAGCCAGTGTAGCCTGCAAGAAAGTGAGTAGCTCAACAGATTAGATTTCCTTAGAAGGTTTGAGGGAAGGAAATTAGTTGAAATGAGTGTTACATTAGTGAGTCGTTCAATGTGATATTGTTTAGACATCTGTGGAAAATACTGTTAGCTCTTGGATACTTTTGTGAGACCTGAATAGCTAGATGGAAGGCAGTTTAAGAGTCCCTTGGTGATGGCTACTATAAGGGATTACAACATGTGAAGGGATTAAGTGGCTTTCAGGCTATAGAGAAGAAAAACTGAGACTTTCTACAGGCTAATACTAACTCTGTTGCTATTCATGTTAACTAACCAAAAATATTTAACTGAGTGAACAGTGGAGTAAAGCAGGCTGTCCTGAACCTTAGGTTTAATAGCAAAGCATTCTAGAATATTTTGAGACAAGGCCAAATGAAGCTAAACATGGCATGCAACGTGTGTGGGATGAATAAACAAATGATAGTTGTGGATTTCTGAATGGCCTCTTCAGAAATCATGCAGGAGCTCAGTCTGTTTCCATGAATATGTAGTATGTAATCAGGATAAAAAGTAAGATTGCCCTGTATAGAAAAGGGAATGAAGATCCTTTCAGCACTCCACAGAACTAGCCAATGCTAATCACAATGAGACAAAACACAGAAGTGTTATTTAAAGTACATAGAATCATAGAATAATTTAGTTTGGAAGGAACCTCTGGAGGTCTCCAGTTCAACCTTCTGCTCAAAGCAGGGCCAACCAGATCAAGTTGCTCAGGGCCTTGTCCAGTTGAGGTTTGAATATCTCCAAGGATGGAGATGTTCAGTTGCATTGAACCATAGCCTGGTATTTGCCTAAGCCCTGAATGAGACTTTGGCTGGTACATTCGTTTGAAGTGCACGAATTGCAGGGTTGTCTCTTCAATCCCATGGATCTCATTACAGGTTCTGGGTAATTTGTGCTGATATGGCTGCTCAGTACACGGTCCCTGCCCCAACCACTCCAGCAAAAATGTACATGACTTACCAGGGCCTGGCTAGCTACCTGTCCAGTGGTGGTGAGTGAATTTCTTCATGCCCCCCTGGGGTCAGTCTATAGTTTATGGCTGCCCAGACTTCTGTATTTTAGTAGATGAGCAGTCAAAACAGCTGAGCTCAAATTGTTCCAAATGGAGACAAAGCATCCTTGGAGGTGGAAGCTTTTTCCAAGCAGTGCTTTTTATCTCCACAGAAGGGGTAGGATACAGAGTTTCCCCAGGGACCCTACCTATCCACCAGTTTAGTTAACAGGGAAGATACAGCTTACAGAGAGCTGGCATTGCAAATCAGTTTTGTACAGCCAAGCACTGTGCTGAACCTAGCGAAGCAATTCTTCCTGGACTCCCAGCATTTCTCATAACTAGTGGAACATGAGGCATGGACCCAAATCTTCATCTCAGCAACAAGGCACTAATCCTATCAGACAGGCATGACGGGAGTTTGTAGTACTACCTTAAGTCCCCCTTACAAAAATTCCTTGTGCCACACTCATTTATGCATCCTTCACACCCTGTAATTCCTGCCTGAATCTCCCACAGCTGCTGGGTTGCCAGAGAGGCTAATTCTGGAAGCTGGGCAGTATTCAACCTGCTAGTGCATGACAAAGTACATTCCTTCAGTACTGGCAGATAAACCACACTAAAATCTACTCAATTGAAGAACAATGCTGGAAATACAAGCCATGTTTTACTGAGACTATTCATGTAGGAAATATGATCTGCCTGCCTTTTGTCCCCACACACCCACCTAGACAGAAAATATAAAGGGATTTTGCCATCTAAAGCCTGAAGAGAGATGGTCCAGCTAACAGAAAACAAATGTGGAAATGCACTAAGCGCAAATTCTGGCTGAACAAGAGTCTATCTTGTAGGTGATGGGGAAGATGGTGGATTCAGGGCACACCATGTTTGCCCCCATTCTTCACTTCACAATGTAGACATAAGCTAAACAATCAGAGGTGACTTTTTGTCCTTTGGGAAGCTGTCCCTGCCATATAAAGCCTCTGTCTACTAAATGAGCATGTGCATGTCTTTGCCCTATGTTTTCCACCATGGCAAACACATCTGATATGATATTTCAGGGGACAACTACTGGGTGATTGACACCGACTATAACAACTATGCTATTACCTATGCCTGCCGCAGTCTGAAAGAGGACGGCTCCTGTGATGATGGCTACTCCCTGATCTTCTCACGCAACCCTCATGGCCTTCCTCCAGCCATTCAGCACATTGTTCATCAGAAGCAGGAGGAAATCTGTATGTCTGGCCAGTTCCAGCCTGTGCTGCAGTCAGGTACTTTGAGTTACTTAACAAATGCATTGGAGTGATTATATTGGCAGCTTGTAGGACCAGGCAATTGTACCTGCTGTAAATGCAAAAGAGCCATTGCAAACTAACTTTTACTCTTTTAGAAACATTTTTTGTAATGTCATATTTAATAAGAAAGTGGCTGCAAAGCAAAGTCTGTGGAAGGGAGAGCGAGCCAGATTTAGGGTGGTTCTGCAACCTTTATTTTCCCCTTATAGCAATCCTGTGCTCTGAGGCTGGCACTCTACAAAAGGAAGAACATCTTTGTTATCCCAAAAGAATCACAGAATAATTTAGGTGGGAAGGGACCTCTGGAGGCTTCTGGTCCAGCCCCCTACTCAAAGCAAGGCTAACTTAGAGCAGGTTGCTCAGGGCCTTGTCCAGTTGAGGTTTGAATATTTCCAAGGATGGAGATTCCACCTCTCTGGGCCCCTATTACAGTGTTTGACCACCCTCACAGGGAAAAAGGTTTTTCCTTATATCAAGTCAAAATTTCCCATGTTGCAAGTTGTGTCCGTTGGCTCTCGTCCTATAACTGTGCAAATCTGAGAAGTCTGGCTTCATCTTCTCTACATCTTCTCATTAGGTATTTGAAAACAGCAATAAGACCACCTCCCCCCCTCCCCCCATCCTTAGCCTTCTCTTCTTAAGGTTGAACAAACCCAGTTCTGTCAGGTTCTCCTCATGAGATACACACATAGACCTGGACAGGTGTAAGATGGTGTTTCTGAACTTGGAAATATCTGGCATGACCACCTGGATAACATTGCATTACTTTAGCTCTGCGCACTGTTCCCTACAGGAAAAGCCAGTTTCAGTGAGGAACACACTCATCTTTCTTAGCTGTCAGCATGATTTGAACCCTAGACTTCCTGTGTAACAGAGGCTGCAGAGACTGAGAGACTTTGAGCAGCAGTTCTGCCTGTGTCTGCTGGTAGTGAGAGTGAGCTGTTGCTCCACATAAGTGCAAATAGATTAACAGATCATTTTGCTGGGTCTTGCAGCTGTTTTGAGAGGACCTTTGACTGGAGCTATGGAAGCTTATCTTCCAGCTCATCTGGTGTCCCTGAGATGAGGAGATAAGTTTCTAGTGTTACACTGGAGGCAAGAACTCCACTTTTTTGATAGCATGATCCCAGCTTGAGCCCCACACCCTCCACATGCATACCATCTTCACTGGGGATGAGCTCTTAACTAAACCAGGTTTAAGGAACTAGACTGGGGGATTCCCTCAGTAGCACATGTGTTAGGCCTAGTTGGACAGGAAGTAGCTGCTAAAAACCTCTGAATGGCATGTCATTGTGTGAGCCAGCCCTCAGCTGCAGAGCACATATGGACATCCTGTAAGGTCATAGAGCTGGTAGAGGGATCCCTGCCCTTTGCCCTCTGTATTGCTTCCTGTAGCAGAGAGGGTAACTGGTTTGTGGGCTGAGTGCCTAGGTGTTAGAGCAAGCTAAAAACTCATGGCCCTTTGTGATTGGTGAAGTCTGACAGAACTCAAACCTGCCCAACAGGCACAGAACAATACAAACAGTCCCCTTGGCTTACTCTTGTACCGTGGTTCAGGAGTACCCTAGGATGGCTGTAGCTGCAGTTTCACTGAGGACCAAAAATGCTGTTAAAGCACTGGGTTGGCTTTGCAAATTTACTTTTTGCAAAAGTTGGCTTTTGCATGGACTAAAGTTTACTTTCTCTTTCTTTACAGGGGCCTGCTAAAATACACTTCTGATTCTATCTTTAAGCACTGAAACCAGGCCTCTTGGTCTTGAAGTTGTCATTCACTTTAAAAAAAGAAAATCATAGTTTAAACTAGTGTTTTCTTCCTGAAAAATATGAAAATGTCATATTTTGGTAACTTGCATGCAATACAATATTGATATTTTCAAGGAAAATTTTCAAGGGAATACTTAATGTGGTATTTGTCAATAAATGGTTAACAAAAAATCAGCATTTGTATCTTAATTCTGAAGTTATAAAACCTTCTTGAACAATGACTCTGAGCTGAGATTGACAATGTGCTCCTCACTGCTTGATAATATCTTACTATGCTGTATTTCAGGTACATGTTAATGTCCAAAGATCTGCATTGAGTATTTCTAATCAAATTATGGAACTAGTATGATAAATAAATAAAACTGAATCAAGAATGTAACAAAGCAACTTGTTCTCTCAAAAACTCTGAGCCATTGCTTTAACAGAGCTCCCACTTACATGTACTATGGCCTTAAGGTAGTAATTCACTCCCCACTGCCATCCTCCAGTGTTCAACAGCTAAGCAATACAGAGCTGATAGGTTTTGTGGCCAAGAATTTCACAGGGAACCAAAGGAATAGTACCTAGAAGATTCCTTGTAGGAAAAGGGGAATCTACATAAGCATTTTCAGCCATTTATTTCCTATTCCTCATGAGACAATCACGTTCACCTTGAATGGTTCCCTATGAATAAAACTACCAGTCCAGAATCCCCCCAACACCATATTGAACCCTGCAGTTTGTCAACAACACAATTTTTTTCAGGTCATAATTGTTGAGGGTACAATGAAGACCAGACTGCACAGCCCCTGCCCGTGGGGCATTCACAAAGCATGTGGCACAACATTGGCACTGAGTGAAGAGCTTCAGAGTAGCAAGACCATAAGGCAGCTTCTACAAGATGCTTGCATAATCTATTATGTACTGCCAATCATTATCTACTGTATCTGTTTGAAGGGACATATAAAATGCTGAGTAAAGGCTCTTCTCCAGGGCTACTAATAGTATCCCAGAGATATAGGGAGTTCTCTCAAGATAAGTTTGCTTTTCCTAAGATTCCCAGCCATGAGTCCTCAGCCTATCAGCCAGCAGAGAAGACTATTGGCAAAAAGTGTTACTTGCTTTCCCAGTCTAGAAAAGCTACCTTAAAGGGAAGTAAGATAAGTGTCAGCCACCATCTAAAGCTAAGGTCAGAAACAGAAGAGCAGCAGGAAATACAAAAGGAAAAGCATGTAGGTTAAGACTATCAAATGCTGTAAAAAATATTAGCTTTTTGCACTGGACTAAGTGCAAGGTTAGTTAGGCACCAATCCCCCCCACCCCCACCCGGGAGTATCAAGGTGGAGTTCTGTTGTGAACTTAGAGTTTGTATCGCAATCGCTTAGACAACATTAAACCCTAGCTGAGGGACACTGGCCTTAGGCCAAGAGATTCAGACCAATTCCCCTAGTTTTAGAGAACTGGGATTTTTAATGCCTACAGTTATCACTTAATATCTGTATAACTAGAACAGCTGGGAGCTCCAGCAAGCATGAACTAGATGTTAATGTCCTTATAGTGCTTGGTGTAGTCTGTGTAGGAGAGCTTAGTGCTGAACGCTCTTCTCTGCCATACAAGCTTGTGCTGCCAGGACCACAGGACCAGGACGGGAGTGGTGACTCTGGGAGAATGCACCTCTCAGTTGCATGTGCCCCAGCATGCCGGCTTGTCCTTGGGCAGGTGGGAGAAAATGTTCCCTCAAGGATGGCAAGCAGCCCCTCATCATGTGATCTGGTGAGTTAATAGGTGCAGGCTAATTAGCTCATATCCATTTCTCTCCACTGACCACAGGCATCTCAAGAGATTAGAGTGGGACAGGCAGGTAGGGGGTATATTCTGCTGGTTTACACCTGTCTCACCCTATTGAGTTAGATGTGTAAATAGGGTGTGTCTAGGGGTAGACACAGGTTCTTCTGCCTGCCCTCTGAGATGGTTGGTTATGTTACAGCCCTGGTTCAGATGTTATTTGCCATCTTAGCTTGGATGAACCAAACTGACATTCCTGGCTTTAAGTGTGGCTGTAGTTCCTAAGTCGTACTCTTCATCCTGCAAAATCTTTCCACTAACAAAAGAAAAGAGAAAGCCATTTACAAATGAGGAGGGCTGTTATTTGGTCCTCAGAAGGTCCTGAGGTGCTGATGGAGTGGCTTTGACTGTGCAGCAGCAGGAGGAACCCTGCAAGAATTTTGTACTTCACATCAGTGAATCTCCTCCCAGCAAGAACATTCTGAGATCTGACGCTAGGGTATCATGTTGTGTTAGACCTCTTTCAGCATAGTCAGCCCACTATCTTTGTTCAGATCTGGGTTTCATGTTGATTTACCACTATCAAGAAAATACTTGAAATAGCATTGTGCTATCAGCAGAAATATTCCAGAACATGTTTTCACACTTCAGAAGATGTTGACTATTGGAAGCAAAGTGGTTGGACTTGATCATCCTAAAGGATTTGATTTTATTTACATACATAACATGCCATGCTCTGCCCTTGCAAATAAAATTATTGCTTTATGGAAGTCATAAACTGTGGGACTTTGCATGGACAACATGATAATGTATGAGATATTACCTTGAAACTTTTGGGGAAAATAATACCCTCACACTGCCTTCCAACAAGATGAAAAAAGTGAGCAAACCATTAAAATTAACATCTGCAGCAAAGAGGCAGCTGTGAGCCCTATTACATGTCTGCCTTTGTTATGAGCAGGAACCCTGGGCCAGCAAAACTCCCAGACCAAAACCATTGTAAAAGAGGATAGCTTCCCCTAAGAGAAATTATTCGCCATAGGGACAGACTCACAGACAGTGAAAGAATTAGATAAGTGAATCTTCATTCTATGTACTGCATCTTTGCAAAAACTAAACATTCCAAATGGGACTCATCAATTTTATGTCATTTGCCCTATATATCCCACTCCTGAACCTGTGTGAGGAGTAATCTATCTGCTAAACTGCACAGGGCAATGATTTTTGATATTTTATTTTGTTTGATTTGCACACCTATGTATTTTCTACTAAATCCCTGCATAGCAAAATTAATCCTCTTCACCATAGCTAGGATTCATCTTTTTCAGATCCCTAGAAGTAAAGAATCACAAAATAATTTAGGTTGGAAGGGACCTCTGGAGGCCATCTAGTTCAATCCCCTGCTCAAATCAGGTCTAATTAGGTCAGGTTGCTCAGGGCCTTGTCCAGTCAAGTCTTGGACACCTCCAAGGATAGACATTCCATAGCCTCTCTGGGCCCCTGTTCCAGTATTTGACCACCCTCATGGCAAAACCTTTTTTCTTTATATCACCTTAGACCGTCTCATATTCCAACTTGTGTCCATTGCTTCTCATCCTATCACTGTGCACCTCCGAGAAGAGTCTGGCTCCATCTTCTCTATATTCTCTGATCAGGTAATTGTAGACAGCAATAAGGTCTCCCCTTAGCTGCTGCCTTAAGGCTGAACAAACCCAGTTCTCAGCCTCTCCTTGTACATGTGCTCCAGCCCCCTAAGCATCTTGGTGGTGTTGTGCTGGACTCACTCCAGTATGTCCATTTCTGTCTTGTTTGAGGGAGCCCAAAACTGGACATGGGATGCCAGATGGCACCCTGGGGACAAGAGAGAAAGTCTGGAGGAAAGGCAGACTTTCCCTTGGTTGAGGAGGATTGAATTAGAGATCTTTTGTCCAAACTTGACATCCATAAATCCATGGGCCCTGAGGGGATGCACCCACGAGTGCTGAGGGAGCTGGCGGATGTTCTTGCTAGGCCACTCTCCATCATCTTGGAAAGGTCCTGGAGATCAGGAGAGGTGCCTGAGGACGGGAAGGAAGCCAATGTCACGCCAGTCTTCCAAAAGGGCAAGAAGGAGGAGCCAGGAAACTACAGGCCTGTCAGCCTCACCTCCATC